AGCCGCGGAGCGCGCTCTGATGGCTCAGGCGTCGGTATTCTGTCACCGCGAGTTGCATTTGCAGGCCCAGGCGCTGCAAATCGTCCGGACGCACGGGGCGGAGCCGAGGATGAGGAGAAGGGAAAAGGGCGTGGGCGGAAAGGACAAGAAAACCTTCAAGAAAAGGTAAGAAGCACACGAAGACACTGCCGACGCCCAGGGACAATAACGATAGCAAAGACAAGAACACTGGTGGTAAGAAGAAGGCGGGGAAGTCCAAGGCGGACATGGAGGCTTCGCCGCCCAAGAAGACCAAGGTGGACCAGCCAGAGGAGGAGTACGAGGGGACCCAGCCGGAGTCGGAGGAACCCAGCCATTCGGATGAGCAGTAGGCACAGAGGGCGCCCATGATTTTGGACGCTTCCTCCGGGCTGCAACCATTGGGCACCCAAGATTTGTAGAAGCTGCAACAGCTTGGGAGGCCGGTGCCTGAGGTTAATCAAAGACTCTTCCAGCCCAGTTTTGGAACGTTCGACCTTGTTGAGTTCTCGACCACGGCAGCTCCAGGCATTAGGTAGCGGATGGAGCAACTGCCCAATATTGGACACCTCGACGCCTGAGTCTCATTCTCAGGGCAGTCCCAGCTGCAGCTCCTGGGCGAGTTTTGCATCGCTCGGGCCGCCATGATGTTTTCGACGACCGGCGATGATGGCCCTGGAGCAGGGAGGTCCCCGGGGGGGAGAGATAAGGGAAGAGCAGGGGCGGGGGGCGCTTCGCAGCGTCGCGGGCGGTTCGCACTGGCTTCGGTTTCGAGAGTCGGCGCCCATGCCAAACTACAGTGCCACCCGCGGGCGATCGCCCTCGGGAAAAGGCGGGCAGTGCCCTGATTTTCAGCTGGCCGTACTTCGCGTGTTTGGACTCAAACATCGAACCCCGTCGCCGTCCTCCCCCTCTCCCCCGCGACATCCTTTACTCATTCCGCCCTCGTGGACCCGCCCCCTCGCCCTGGGCCCCCCTGCCTTTAGAGTCGCGCTGAAACACCGTCTGCCCGATGCCCAGGGGCCATTCAAAAGCGGAAGCGACAGCAATGGCATGAATAGTTGGATCCCCAGTCAGTAAAGCACCAACCAGGATGTGCACAGAGATGGGGGTGGAACCACATGTGAACCCTGCCGGTGCCGCCTTCACTGGGGCTGGGCACAAAATGTGTGAGGGGTGCGCCGACATGGGGTGGAACCGCATGCGAACCTTGCCACTGCGGCCTTCGGCGGAGCTCCTCATGGGGCCAGAAAATGTGTCAGAGGTGCGTCGACATTGAGGGTGGGACAACATGCGAACCCTGCCACTCGGGCCTTCCGTGGAGCTCCCAATGGGGCCACGAAACGTGTGAGGGATGTGCCGACATGGAAGTGGAACCGCAAGCGAACTTTGCCACTGGGGTCTTCGGTGGAGCTCCTTCTGAGGCCACAAAACTTGTGAGAGGTGCGCCAAAATCGGGGCGCAAACGAATGCGAACCCTGCCACTACAACCTTCGGTGGAGCTCCCTATGGGGCACGAAACGTGTGAGGGATGCGCCGAATTGGGGGTGAAACCGCATGCGAACCTTACCATTGGGGCCTTCGTTGGAGCTCCCTATGGGAGCACGAAACGCGGGAGGCATGTGCCGACATGGGGGCTGGAACCGCATGCGAGCCCTGCAACTGCGGCCTTCGGCGGAGCTCCCTGGGGGCATGGAACGTGCGACGGGCGATGCGAACCCTGCCACTGGGGCAGTCGGTGGAGTTCCTTATGGGGGCAGAAACGTGGGAAGGAGGGAGGAGCAGAGCAAAGGAGGAGGCCGGACGCTGGGCCGTGTCTCTATCCAAGCACCCCAGTTGGCATATGCCCCTCGAAACCCGAAGGGAACGGCTTATAACCCCATCTGGGGGAGGACCTCGGCCAGGGGAGGCCCAGGCCACGCCGGTGGGGATAGGATTGGTTAAGCGGTGCTCTAAGCGGCCGCGACACCGACGATGTAGGGAGCGCACGAGTGGCCGGCAACCACGGAGTGTGGCAAAGACCCCCTCGTTGCCTCGCGGGTGTTCTCGACCCCCGGTGTGAGGATGATGCCGCCGTCATGATCAGTGAAGCTTCGCTGCACTAGATCCGGGCTCAAGGTTGAAGTCGCCGACGATGAACCATGGAAAACGGAAATGCGAAACGTGTGCGCCCGATTTGGCATATCTACGTAAGTTCTTACCGCCGAAGCCGTCTGAACAGAATCCGTGGAAGGAGAGGGTCACAACAAAATGCCGTGCAGAAGAAGGATGGCTTCGTCAAACTCGTCGAGCCAGTTCGTTACCCCGGCATGAAGATCCTTCAACACAGCATCAAATTCGTTCAAACCCTGCATCTGAAGGTGCTACAGTACCAATACGTAACAATTCAAGTCCTTCGTCGGCACGACTTTGGGCAAAAGATGTCTTGCCTCGGCCTGTGACTCGCACATGGTTGAGCACGAGCTTGTCTTGTGTCTTGTAGACTTAAGCTTCCATTCCTGGATGTCCGCCTGCGACTCGACGTGAGCTCTGCGAACGCGAAGAAGTCATAGGACCTGCAGATGGGCCCGCAAATATAGCCCCAGGCCTACCTATCCATGCCCGCGACATTGCCGAAAAACAACACAGTGCCAGAGCCCCTCTTCGAACCTGAAGTGCGCTCGGGCGAACTAGCCAACGATTGTGGAGGAAACCCGCTAAACGTACCCAGTGAGCTTGATGCTGGAATGCCATTGGCAGCTGATCCCGTTGCCGTGGCCGGCAAAACTGGTAAATTGCTTGGCACTTGGGTTTTGGCTGTCTTGGCGAGCAGGGCTGCGTCACCCGCCGCCTGCTAGGCCGCCGACGAACGGGCAGCTTCTTTCTTATGCGCGCCTCATTCGCTGCGTCATGCTCAACTGGAGCCTGAGTCGCGCCCGCTGCCGTAACTGTCACACTGCTGGCTGGTTGTGATGGTTGACCGTTGCTGCCTGCCGTCACGCCTTCATGGCCACTGACGCTTCTTGGCCATGCGTCGTTGGATCCGTTGCAGCAACTTCCTGTCCCGAATGAGCCGAGTCACAATTTCCTAAGTATTAGACGACAGGTGATCAATGGCTGGATTCAGGTCCTTCTCGAGTTGACGTAAGGCAGATCGTTCTGATTATTCAGCATCATGGTTGCTCATTTCTACGGAAACGGAGTTTGTTTTATTTGGCGTCAGGTCAAGGGGAGGATCTCCATTGGTCGTCGCAGGTTTGTCTGTCACCATCGCTGGCAAAACCTGGACCTTGGGCGCGAGCGCCTGGGTAACGATCTTCTTGGACTCCACCAGCGCGACCACGAGCGAGATTGCCGCCTGGGTCGGGGACCCTTTGTTCCCCGCACGCGCCATATCCTCACGCCATGGCAGGAGCGCACCGACGGCCTGGTCGAACTTCAGCTACGCGCCCTCGACCGCCATCGTCGGGCGCGGGCGCAGGTGCCCGAGACGCGCTCGCCTCGCGGAAGGCGAGCTGATTCCGGAGTGCCCGCCCGAGCGCGGTACCCGTGGAGAGCCAGCCAGCGCCACGGCGAGGGCCAATACAGAGGCAGCGCGCTGCTCGGCAGGCTGGACGGGGCCAGCGCGGACCGGGGCGCGCTTCGGAGAGGGCCTCGCCTTCGAGGATCCCAAGGAGTTGGCATCTCCCCTTCGGCGGAAGGCGGCGGAAGCCGAACGAGGGCGGCTCCGCCAGCGGCAGCCAGCGGAAGTAAAAGGTGTCTTCCCAAGAGATGTTCGACTACGCGTAAGAGTGACCCTTCGCCGGAGCGACCTCTGTTGCGGGCCCATTGGGGTTCCCCGATCGCTGAACGCGAGGCGGGAATGGCGACTTGCGCGCTTGGGTTTGGCCCCCCCGCGGCTCCAAATGCCGCCCTTGGCCCCCCGGGGTGAAGTCTATCTTGGCGCCCGCATATGGAGCGCTTGCGCAGGTGCGCGAGGAGAACATGTGGTCCGTTCGTATGTACAGTGTACAACACATCCACGGCGAGTGAGCCAAGCGGGGGTTGGGAGCGGCCATCATGTCTGACTTGGCGTCCGCACATAGAGCACTCATCCGCTGCTGCTCGCGGAGGACATGTGTTCCGTCAGCGCGTACAACACATCCATGGCGAGTGAGCCAAGCGGGAGTTGGGAGCGGCCGCCACGATTTGCCGTTTTAGCCGCCAGATAAGCGACACGATGTTGGGTGTTGCAGCGTCGGTGCCACCCGAGCGCCTCGTTGCGGAGAAGGCCTGACCCAAGCGCCAAAAATCGTTTTCGAGCCCATGGCCTCGCTGGCTTGTTGGCTCTGTCAACGATGGCTCTCGTGCTTCTCGTCCTGGTAACCGTGTAGGAGAAGGAGAAGGAAGAGGGAGAGCAGGGGGAAGATAATGATAAAGAGAAAGAGGAGGCAGGAGGCAGGAGACAGGAGGGGAAGGCAGGAGGACGAGGAGGAGGAGGAGGACAGTTGGGCGCCGAGCTGAGAACAGCCCTACAACGCGCTACGGCTCGCCAGTACTGGAGGGCGTTGGGGGTGGCAGACGCCTGGCCCCGCGAATGCGCTGCCCTGGCCGCGGCGCTGGCGGGCTAAGCCAGCGCTGGACTCGCGTCCGCTGGCCTAAAGAGGCGTCTTCCACGCGGAGGGCAACAGCAGAGGAGAGGAGGAGGAGGAGGAGGAGGAGGAGGAGGAGGAGGAGGACGAGGACGAGGACGAGGAGAAGGAGGAGGAGGAGGAGGAGGAGGAGGACAAGGACGAGGAGGACGGGGAGGGGTAGGAGGAGGATGGAGGATGGAGGAAGGATGGAGATGGAGGATGGAGGATGGAGGATGGAGGACGGAGGATGGAGGATGGAGGATTGGGATGAAGGATTGAGGATGGCGGATGGAGGATGGAGGATGGAGGAGGAGGAGGAGGAGGAGGAGGAGGAGGAGGAGGAGGAGGAGGAGGAGGAGGAGGAGGGGGGGAGCCCACCGGCGCCCCGAGGCCGACCTGGACCAGGCCCACCTCAGCGAGAAGAAGGCGCTCGAGGGGAGGAAGGACCCGCGGGCCCCGTCTCGAGCCACCTCTCGATAGCGCTCGACGGGAGGAGGAGGGAGAGAAGAAAGGAGGAGGAGGAGGAGGAGGAGGAGGAGGAGGAGGAGGAGGAGGAGGTGGAGGACAAGGGAGGACAAGAGAGGAGGAGGAGGAGGAGGAGGAGGAGGAGGAGGTGGAGGAGGAGGGAGGAGGAGGAGGGAGAGCAGGAGAAGGAGGAGGAGGAAGATGGAGGAGGAGAGGAGGGAGGCGGGAGGAGGGAGGATGGAGGAGGGAGGACGGAGGAGGGAGGAGGGAGGAGGGAGGATGATGGTGGTGGAGGAGGAGGAGGAGGGGGAGGAAGAAGAAGGAAAATAATAAGAGAAAGAGGAGGAGGAAGGGTTGGAGGAAGAGGAAGAGGAGGAGGAGGAGGAGGAGAAGGGAGAGAAGGAGGAGGAGGCCCCATCATCGTCTCATACGCCTACCTTGTGCTGTTGGTAGACGTGGCGATCAAGGGGTCAGGAGGTATGGGTGTGTAGTTCGTGTGTGGTATGCTTTATTTGTTCTCAGGCGAAGGACCGACGGGCCTCGTCTCAGCACGCACCTCGATGCCGCTCGACGGGAGGAGGAGGGAGAGGAGCACCGAAGAACGCTTGCAGATCTAATACTTTTCTGTGCCTCCTCGCACCTCCTTCCCCGCCCAGTCTGCATTCAAGTCTCTTACTGGGTTATTTTTTTCGACGCAGCAAGCTCCGTCTTCATGTCTGGTCAACGTCGAAAAGCATCGAAGAACAACAGCATGAACCTGAACTTTCGGAGCTCCGCGCGGATTTCTCGGGTCCGCGCTAGACACAACTGGCGGCGCATGCGACGCCGCTGGTCCTGACCACCTCGATGGCGCTCGACGGCAGGAGGTGCGACAGGAGGAAGAGGATAAGAGTGTCCACGATTCAGTCGGTTCGGCTGCGTCGCAATCGGATGCATTCGGTCGGTTTGGTCCGGCCAACTCCAGCCAACCAGCTGGCCAACCAGCCCGCCGACCAGCCAAACAGCCAGCCAACTGGGAGCGCTTGGCCCCACGGACGCTGCGCGCCTCCGCGGCCACGACTCGCGCGGCGCAGCAGAGAGACCCAGCGTGGCCCAGGAGTTGCGGTGAAATCAGGAGCTCACTCCCGGAGATCCAGACAAAGCATTTGTTTCACACTAGGCCTTTTCGCCCAGTTTCGGCCCCTCGGACCCTCACAGGTCGACCTAGCTCGAGAAATACCTCAAAAAGATTGGGAGGGTCTAGGGTTCTGGTCGTGCCTTTATACGATGTTGCATTTTCTCGCGACGTCTGATCTCAGGGCTCGGCGCCGTCTGCAGCTTCCTCTCGGGGAGGTCCCGCCTTTCGGCGCCGGGCTTGAGCCTGGGCCGCAGAGTCCGAGCAGTCACTCCTCGACGACGCTGGCGGCGGCAGCGATGCCAGCGGCGGCGACGCCAGCGGCGGCGGCGCCAGCGGCGGCGGCGACGGCGGCGGCCTGATGGCGGGGGGGGCGACTGCCGACGGCGGCGGCGGCGGCTGACGGCGGGGGCCGCGGCTTGCCGTTGGTGGCGGTTGCGGCGGCGGCGGCTCGACGGCGGGGGCCGCGGCGTTGGCGGCGGCGACGGCGGCGGCTTGCCGGCTGCTTGACGACGGGGGCGGCGACGGTGGCGGCTTGACGGCAGGGGGCAGCAGCGTTGGCGGCGGTAGCGGTAGGCACGACGACGACGGCGGCGGCGGCGGCGGCGGCGGCGGCGGCGGCGGCGACGACGACGACGACGACGACGACGACGACGACGACGACGACGACAACCACGACGACGACGACGACGACGACGACAGCCAGCCAGCCAGCCAACCAGCCAGACAGCCAGCCAGCCAGCAGCGCCGGCCAAGACGAGCTTGGCCCCCCCAGGAGGCCGAGAGACTGGCGAAGGCCGCGGCGCGAAACGAGCGGGAGGCCCCGGCCGCCGCTCTGTCGGGGCCCGCCGTTGTTGTGGTCGTCGGCGCCGTCGCCGACCGCAGCGCCGCCGTCATCGCCGCCTTCGCCGGGCCGCGGGGCCGCGCGCACGGAGGAAAGCTCGGTGGCCCGCGGCCGCCCTCGTGGCGGAAGCCGGCCCCTCCACGTCGTCGTGGGCGGCGCGCACGGCAATGGCGCGAGGGGGGTGGCCTTCTAAGAAGTCGCGAGGGCAGGCGGCCTCCTCAGAAGCCGTCCCGGCCTCTGCGAGGCTTGCTTTCAAAGAAGCCTCGAGGGCCCCTCTAAGATGGCCCCTGCCCTCTGATGAGCACCCCGCCTTCTCAGGGGGGCCGCCCCCCTCGCGCCAGCCCCCAGTGTGCGCCGCCCATGTCCGCCAGCGTCGTCGTCGTCGTCACCGCCGCCGCCGCCGTCGTCGTCGTCGCAGGCGAGGGCGCGCCCTTTTCCTGGGCGTCCCCGGATCGGAGATGGATAGAGCGCCCATCCCTGCGAAGTCGATTGGCGGATCCGCCCGCGGGGGCCCCCCTCTGTGGCTTCTCGAAAGCAGACCCAGCAGAGAAGACTTACAGAGCAGGTGGGGCGTCCCCCTGCGCGTTCCGTGGAGCGTCCCCTGGCGCGTCCCCTGGCACGTCCCCCGGCTTGCGCGTCCCCTGGCGCGTCTGCGGCGCGTCCCCGGACACGTTCCGTGGCGCATCCCGAAACACGTCCCTTGGCACGTTGCCTGGTGTGTTCCCGGACGCTTCCCTTGGCACGTCCCTTGGCGTGTCCACTGGCACGTCCCCTGGCACGTCTAGTGGCTCGTCCTCTGTCGCGTTCCCTGACTCGTCCTCTGGCGCTTCCCCTGCCCTTTCCGTCGCGCGTCCCCTGGTCGGTCCCTTGGCACGCCCCCTGGCGCGTCCTGTCAGACGTCGCCTGGCATGACGTCCCCTGGCACGCCCCCTAGCACGTCCCGTAGTCCCTGACACGTTCGTGGCACGTCCCCTGATACGCCCCCTGGCACGTCGCCTGGCGCATCTCCTGGTGCGCCCCATTGCTTCGGAACTTGAGCGGATCTTGAGCTCGAGCTGGTTGAACGCCCCGCACGTTTTGACTAAAACCAGCTCTGGGCGAGGCATACGGTCAGGCAGCTCGAGCGAAGGATCCAGATCATTTCGGTCAAGATATGGACTCCAAGGACGACTGGAGCCACAACGCAATAGAGCATAACACGGCCAACGCAGTATGAAACGGCACAGCTCCGCACGGCACAGCACGGCACAGCGCAGCGCAGCACAGAGCCTCTGGCACGGCATCATGACCCTGGATGTCCGCAGCATTGCCATTGCCCATTGCCCAGATTAGGGCAGCTCTATATATCCCTTTCCAGGTTCGTGGATCGACCACGCTTGCATTACAGCCGGACCGAGGTACGCACAAGATCGAGGCCGGCTCGGGGAGGGTACCCTGGTGTTCCTCGTGCTTGCTGGGTGCTCCTGTGCACCCTGGGGAGGGTACCCCTGGAGGTTCCGTTCGTCTTAGCCGACGCGGGGCCTCATGTGCTTGAGGAATGTTCTTCTGGCCTCGGTCCGACTGTACAGCCAAGTCGTGAAATAAGGAACAGTTTGGATCAGAAAGGGGCTCGATATTCCTTATAGTCCTTAGGTCCTTCTATGGCTTTCCCTCTGGCCTTCCTCTGGCCTTCCTCGTGCACGCAGGCGCTTGTGGGGCCAAAAAGGGGCTTCGTTCCTTGTGCATCGTTCCTTCTTCCAGCAGCCCGACTGTACACCTGCTGCGCGCCGCCGCGGGAAGGCCGAGAGGCTGAACGCCGTGGCCGCGGACGAGGTGCTCGTCGCGGCCTCCGCGGCAGCGAGGGCCGAGCAGCTGCGCCAGGAGTGCGCGGGCGGCGGCGGCGGCGACGCCGGCGGCGACGCTGACGCGCACGCCGACGCCGACGCCGACGCCTTCGACGGCCACGACGGCGACGGCAGCGGCGACAGCGACGCCAGCGACGACGACGGCACCGACGCACACGCCGACGCCGACGCCGACGCCTTCGACGACCACGACGGCGACACCAAGGACAGAACCTTCGACACCGGCGACGGGGGGACGAAGGAGAGGGGGCGGGAGGGGAGAGGAGAGGCCGGGGGGAGGGAGGAGGAGGAGGAGGAGGAGGAGGAGGAGGAGGAGGGGGAGGAGAGAGGAAGGAGGAGGAGGAGGAGGAGGAGGAGGAGGAGAAGGGGGAGGATGAGAGCAAACTCAAGTAACACCCAGGATGCTTCAGCATAGACCCGCCCGTCGCAGATCCCCTCCCCAGAATTCCCCGCAGCAGTTCCCCATCCGCTGGGAGGAACGCCCCCCTGAAACACGAGGGGCCCACGGGCCTGACAAGGATCAGGAGGAGAAAAAACACACAGACACAATTAATCTTCGATTCCCCAGAAAATAGAGAAAAATATGCGAAGTGCGGGGGGAGACAAAAACCCAGAAAATATGGGAAAATATGGGGAATCCTTTTTATTTGTGTGTATTTATTTGTGTGTCCCAGGGCCCCTTCAAAGGAGGCGATGCCCGCGTTGCGACACAGACCGACCCGAAATTCACGCCGTGCAAGGAGGCCCTACACAGCAGCGCAGCACGAGAGCACACCTGGTGAGCCAACATCACGGGGGCGTGCTCGACTCGAAGAAGCACAACGCCATAAACATCAACTTTTGGCGCTCCGCGCGGGTCTCTTGGATACGCGTCGGGCCCCCCCCGGCGGCGCCTCTGGCGCCGCCCCTGGCGCGCTCCGCGCGCCAGGGAGGAGGGCCCAGCGCAGATCCGAGAAATCCGCGCGGACCGGCGAGAGTTGATGTTTGTGCCAGTCACGTGGTGAGTCAACATCACTCAAGGAAGGAAAACTACCCGGACCGGACAATTGGCGTCTACTACACGGCCTTGGGCGTTTACTAAAAAGCCTTGCCTTGCTCGATTCCTCCAGTGGGGGCATTTGGTATAAACGGCTTCGCGTGTCGGGGTGGTTATTATGGGGGGGATTCTTTGCCCTCTAATCACGGGGGCGTGCTTGGTTCCAGTAGCCAGTGCCGCAAGAAGCCGAGCACGGCGAGGCACGGAACGCACGGCACGGCACGGAACGCGTGTCGCACACTTGGAGTTCAGGAGCGGCACTGGCGCGCGCGCACGCGGTACGGCACGGCACGCTGCTCGCATTCTGGACCTTCTGCATGACACCGCACGTCTTTCGCATTGACAGCACACACAGACACAATTGATCAGCGATTCCCCGGGAAAATATGGGAAATATGGGAAGTGGGGCGAAGACGGAAACACAGAAAAGATTCAGAAATATGGAAATCCTAGGATATGTATATTTTTGTTTGTCCCTGGGCCCCATTCAACTTAGGCAAGGTGGGGACCCACTCGGGTGCCCACGGGCTTTTTTTGTGAGAGGGAGGAGAGAGGAGGGAGGAGGGAGAAGGGAGGAGGGAGGGGGGAGGAGGAGGGAGGAGGGAGAAGAGAGGAGCGGGGAGGGGGGAAGGAGGAAAGAGGGGGGGAGGGAGGGGGAGGAGGGAGGAGGGAGGAGGAGGAGGAGGAGGGAGGAGAGAGGGAGGGAGGAGGAGAGAGGAAGAGGAGAAGGATGAGGAGGAGGGGAGGAGGAGGAGGGGAGGAGGAGGAGGGAGGAGGAGGAGGAGGAGGAGGAGGAGGAGGAGGAGGAGGAGGAGAAGAAGGGGGAGGAACAGGAGTTCAGCAAAAAACAAAAAGTAAAAAGCACTAGATGCAATGTTCTGGGGGAATACAGACAGCCAGGCGACCTAGCGAAACATTGCGTGTATTGTTTGTTTTGTTTTTCTGGCGTGGTTTTGGTTATCCCATGGCTTACTTCGAATACTATTTTTCAAAGGGATGAAGATCATAAAAAAGAGGAGGAAGAGAAGGAGGAGGAGGAGGAGGAGGAAGAGGAGGAGGGGGAGGAGGAGGAGGAGGAGGATGGGGAGGAGGAGGAGGATCGAGAAAGGAACATACACAATGGATGCCCCTTCTGCCATATGGCCGCAAGGTCCCAGGCATTACGCGTGACCTTGCAATACTGTTGCCAGGCTCTGGCGTGGCAGAAAGGGGCATCTCAAAATGCGATGCCCTTGTTCCTGCCACATGTGGAACAGCTCACCACTGCGCAGATAAGACAGGATATAGTAGCGCCCATCAGATAGCAGGATACAAGGGGGAGCCCAAAAATGTGTTCCCATCTCCGCGCCCGAAAACACGGCCATTCGCAATTACGTGACTTACTAGAAGTACAGCAATTAATATGGACAACAATGGCTTCCAGTCTTGATTGAAACATCACCAACACATTGGTGGTCCTGATGCTGCTGCTGGTGGTGTTGCTGTTGGTGCTACTAGTAATGCTGGTGCTGGTCCCCCTGGCACTGCGCCTAGTGCTGGCGCTGCACTGCTCCTGCGATTTCGTATGGGACAAGGGCGTCCTATAACGGGATGTACTTGCTATTTCAAAGGGGTCCGACGCCGATATTCTGCTTCGATGGGGCAGCATCGCATGGAGCCCTTGCCCGTCTTCTCTCCACGGGATTCCGAAGTGCTCGATAAACTCAAGCTGTTGCATCGCACGCGGTTTCCGCGCCTACGTTTTCCTCGCGCGGCTGCCATGGCGAGGGAGAACGCTGTGGAAACTTGTTGACCAACCGAAGTCTAATTTCAGCGGCCTCCCTCCACCGCTCGATATCCAGAGCCAGCCCAGCGAGCCGCATTGTCGCGCGGCGTACCTTCAAGGATTCCACGGCGTTGTATTTGGACGGGGTGCGCCGCCGCACGGCCCAGCTCAGCCTTGGAGAACAAGCCCGCATCAAGTTCAAGGACGGCATGCTCGCGGAGCTCGACGAGCGCGGCATCGGGACCGAGCGGGTCAGCTGCAAGAAGAAGCCGTGCGACAATCGCAAGCTTGAGTGCTCTGGCTACCGCTTGCTCTGGAACCGTTGGCCCATCGCGGTCGAGCGCGGCAACAGGGCCAGCATGGCCCTCACCCAGCTCCCGAGCATGGCGGGGGGCGGCGGCGCGCCCTTGAGCGGGGCCCAGAGCGACGAGGCCGTCAGGAAGCGCCTTGGCCGCGGCGCGATCGCCCTGACCGACGGCGCCGACTGCTACGAGGCCGTCGCCGCTGGCGACTTGATCTCTTCGCCCTCCCGCGACCGCAAGGACTGCCTCGAGCGCGCGAGGCACGGGCGGGACCGCTTCCGCACCCACTACCGCGGGCTGGCCCTGTCGCACGGCGCGGCGAACCACAAGAAGGAGGAGCGGGCGGTCGCGAAGGCCGTGCGCGCGCAGGAAAAGGACGGCGACTTCCGCGCGATTAACATCAAGCACGGCACGGAGGCGGCGGGCGGCAGTTGGGGCGATGTCAAACCGGCCCCCCCCGATCTCGATCGAGAGCGCCGACCGCGACCACATCGCCGAGTACGTCAACGCATGGGCGTGGCGCGCCAGGCGCCACGGGGCCGACCTCTTCGCTGCTTCGCGCTAGAAGTAGGTCAGGGCTCGCGAGGGGCACGCAGGACGCGAGACCATGCTCAGTCACCAAACAGAGAACCCGCGCGATGCCGCCGCGCTGACTACTCCCCACCGCACGTTCGCGCCGCCACGGGGCGAGCGCCCCGCCGCGAAAGATATAACGTTGATCCAGAGAGGGTCGGCAGAGGGACGAGGAGGATTAGGAGGAGCATGATTATGGCATACGACAAGGAAGAGGGCAGGGCGGGAGGAGAAGAGGGAAGAGGAATTGAGGGCCAGTGGTCACGGCAAAGAGCCGAAAGCGCCCCACCCCCATCCAGTCTGGCGCAACAGCTGAAGGGGGAGGGGGAGGAGAAAGGACAGCGCAGATCCCAGCGGGCGCCCAGCGCATTCCTCGCACGTCCTTCCGCGATGGGCCATCCGTGGGAAGGCTGCTAGGGGCGCTGGTTCACCGGCAGACCGCCAGGCCCTTTCGAATTCATTCTTGAGTGGATCCGCCATATCAGCCCAGGCAGTCCGCGGCGGCCGAGGGCGCGCCGGCGGCGCGCGGTCGAAAGAAGGAGGGGGGACCTTCGATTCCACCCCGACTGCCCGATGGCAGCCGCGATCGCCCGACCCCGCCCCCGCGCGTCCAGCAGGGGGGCCGAGGCGGCGGCCGGCGCGGCCAGCACAGGCCCATCAGGCCCGCGATAGCCACAATGTCCATCATCGCCCCCTGCTCGGGGCCACGTCAACAACAACTTCCAGAGGCTCACAAGGCTCTTGGGAATCTAGCAGGGACCCTAGATGCTCCACCGAACAAAGGCAAAGACAATGCTGCTCCGAAGCCTTTCTCTAAAGTGCGACATTTGAGCACGCGTCGGACCACGTTGTCCAGGGGAAATAATCACGCGAACCGTTTCCAGAAGTTCCATGGTGCAAAAAATCATCATCGTTGGTTCTTCATGCTTGCAAAATGTACATTCGCATGGCACGCAGGGTCAGGGCCCCAGCCGAGCTCCTTAAGCTCGCGGATACAAGCTGTAAAATAGACTAGTTTAAAGCAGACCAGGAGCACCATGAAGATTTCCCAGGTCTTGCCCATGAATGCCCGAAGAGGTCCTTTGTATTCGGCAACGCGCGCCATTGAAATACACGACGTGTAGTGGCGGAGATCCACCGAGCACCCAGGAGCAGGACCGCCGCATTCAAATATAATTCCTTCGAGTGTTCTGGATTATCCTTTCGCTATGCCAAAGAGTGGCCGCTGGAGACGCTAGGGGAAAGCGCGTGGAGCGGGCTCGAGCCCCGCTGGAAACAGTCGGTTGGAAACGAGCGGCTGGAAGTAGTCGGTTGGGAAGCGAGCGAACCAGCTACTTGGCCCATGTCACCTGCTTTCGAGGTCGTTCTTACATGCGCACTGCTTGCAGCCATTCGCCACTGGTGTCGGGCAACGCAGCAAACGTTTCGAAAAATGCGAAACCGCAGTCTAGCAGATCTCGAACACACGTTTGCGGCTGATGTCAAGGCCACAGGGCTTTCGACAGAGGCTGCAAATAAGGCGCAGATGGGAAAAAGATTTCACCGGAGCGGAAGCACTGATTTAAGCATGTTACGTCTGGCAATGTGCGGAGCGTTTCCAACTGGGAGAAATTGGGATATCAATTCCCAGCGCATTGCCCCACATGCGGTGCAATTGGCGCAACCGTTCACCAGGTCTGGCAAGGCCTATGCGGAGCCTGTAACAGAAAAAATGCTCGGTGGCCCGCTCATCTCGGATGCTGTCGAAGCTGGCCATGCGCATCCGTTGTTTTGCCTGCCCTCCTGCACACCCAACGTACATGCTTTGTCCAAACTCGCTCCTGACTGGGACATCAGATTTGCGAAAACCGGTGGCTTGACAACGGAACCAGTTTCGTTTCCGTTCGGGGCGAAAATAAACGCAGGCGGGATCTGCACAGACTCCACGGACTGTTGTTTGGCAAAAGCAGGGCTGGCGGCTGTACAGGTAGGTGGAGATGGCTCTCCCGCGGGAAACGTATACGATGTTCTGCTTCATGCGTCCCCCCAATTTCTGCAGATCAGAACATGCCGCTGTGTCTCTTGTTGTCTCGATGCCTGAGGCTTCAGAAACCATCGAAACCGTTCGCGATTACAGCACTCTTGCCCTGATTCACCAGGCCTGAGAAAGCCCAGCAAGGTAACAACATTTCGCTCATTGGAAGTTTGCCACGTTGGCTTTGAAACGCAAGGCATGGTTTCACTTGTGCAAAGTCAAAGCCCGCAGAGGATTCAACGAAGCTCGAGATTACGCGGATGAGACGTGTGTGGTAACAGATTAGCAGACCGCTATGCAGGTCTAGGTGGTCGGACCACGATTCTCTCCACAATGCCTTAGACTGTTGTAAAGGAACGCAGGAATATGATAATCTAGAGGCGGGAACCTTACAATATTGAACGAGCGGCCTCATCACCTGGAGATCCCCACAGGCCCCTTTCAAGAACCCAGCAGCAAAAGCAACTTGATACCTTTTGCTTTGTCCGTTCTGCCATGTGCTCAGTGTGTCCGCCGGTGCTCAACGAAGAGCATTTTTCCTTGCGTCAGCCCGTCCCCGACCCTCTCCCAGACTTGTACATTGGGGGGTCAGGACACGTGCTGCACTGCGCAGCACGTTGCTGTGCGTATTGCGGAAACGTCGTCACCCAGAGAGCCACGAAATTGCTGGACCCCTGCACAGCGCGGGAGACCAAAGCTACTCCGAGGCTTCCTCCATGGCACTGACTTGGAACTGGGCCCTGCACATCCCTGTGCCCCTGTTGCCTCATCCCCCCTGGCCTCTTCCAGAAACGGATACCGAGGCTGTTCCTCGTTTTTGGCCTCATTGGGCCCTTCGCGGGCACCGGAACTGTCAGAGACCGTCCCAGGATGGAAAAGAGCAGTTCCTGGGGAAGGCTCATGGCGTCCAGGCCCGCTTCCTTCGGGAGCCGTGCCCTCGATTCCAAAGATGCGGAGCTGCTCCCTCAGTTAGAAGCTGAGGGGCCTGTAGCGTGCCAAGAGACTGTTTTTTGGGGGGCCGGCGATAACCTGGGTTATCGGGCTTGCCCCCCCCCTACCCCTACCCCAGGATAACCTAACCATGCCAGTTGCGCAGTTCCGGGGCGGGGGGGGCGTGGGCATATGCAGGGCTGCCCACAGCGCGAAGGTTAGGTTATCGGCCGGCCCCCTCTTCCCCTCCCCCCCCCCAGATGACCCGGGTTATCGCCGATTCAAAAAAAAAACAGTCTCCAACGATGGAGGCGATCGGAGGGCAGATTGTGGGGGCTAGGTGGGGAAGATGGGGGCATTGTAGCCCACACGCAGCCATCCCACCATCGCGGACCCTTAATCCACGGTTCCCTCCCCTCCCCCCATCCATCTCCCCCTTCTCCCCCTCGCCTTCTCTTCATCCCATCCTCCTTCCTCTCGTCCTCATTATCATATTTTTCCTCGTCATCGTCTTTCTGATCCTCCTCGCCCCCCTATGCATTTTCATCCTCATCCTCAGTTATCCCTCGTACCATCCTCCCACCTCCATCCTCATACCTTACTCGTCCACCTCCTCCTCCTCTCCTCCGCCTCCTCCTGCTCCTCCTCCTCCTCCTCCTCCTCCTCCTCCTCAGCCCCCCTTTATTTTCATGTTCCTTCCCCAATCTGCCCCTTCTCCATCCTCGATGAGGGGGGGGGAGGGGAGGCAGTTAAGAAAGAGCAGGAGGAGGCAGGCGATGGAAGAACAGCAGCAAAAGTAGGAGCGAGGAGAAGGAGCAGCAGCAGAAGGAAGGGGGGTGGAAGGAGGGGAGGGAGGAGGGGGTGAGGAGGTACGAAGGAGGTGGGAGAACGGAGGAGGGAGTAAGAAGCAGGAGCGGAGGAGAAAGGGGGGAGGATGAAGAGGAAGAGAAAGAGCATCAAGAGGACAAGCAGGAGCAGGAGTTCCAGGAGGAGCCGTAGTAAGGAGCAGGAAGAGTAAGACAAGCAGGAGGAGAAGGAATTGACGGAGCGGGTTTAGAAGGATGAGCAATTGGAGGAAGGTAAGGGGAGGAAGAGGAGCAGAAGCAGCAGGAGGAGGAGGAGGAGCAGGAGCAGGAGGAGGGAGGGGAGAAGCAGGGGGAACGAGTATATCCCGAAACGCCGCAGGAAATTCAGAACAACACCGAGGGCAAAGTCGTTGCAGAGTCGCTGGCGACCCGGCTGAAGGAAGAGGAAGACTTGGACTCCGCCCACCAAGGTCGCATACCGTTCGGGGAGCGAGCGGGGAGACCAGTCCTCCTTCTTCTCGTCCTCCTCATCCTCCTCCTCCTCATCATCAGCATCATCATCATCATCATCACCATCATCATCATCATTATCATCATCGTCATCATCATCATCAGCATCATCATCATCCTCGTTCCTCCTTCTCCTCCTCATCCTCCTCCTCCCCCATATTCCTCCTCCTCCTCCTCCTCCTCTTTCTCCTGATCCGAGAGACCTCCTGAACCACGATGATTTCGACATATCCCGACGTCACTAATATGCTTCGGACTTCCCCGGGGAAGAGCGGGCGGTTCGCCGCCATATGGCCGGAGCCGCCTCGAGATTCCTTCTCGGCGCACGCTCCAGGCCCAGGTCCGCGGGTCGATTCCGAGGGAGGTGGAGAAAGGGAGGAACAGCGGCGGCAAAAGTATGAGGCTGCAGCAGGAGGGGAACGAGGGATCACGAGGGGAGGAGGAGAAGGATGAGGAAGCGGATGAGCAATAGTATAAGAGTAAGAAGAAGAAAAAGACGAAGAGCAAGAAAAAGAAGAAGACGCAGGATAATGAGGATGAGGAGAAGGAGGGGGAAGGTGTGTCTTGGGTGGTTCTGGGGGGGTCGTGGAGGGTCGCAACCACTTGGCAATAACGGGAAAGGGGAGGGGGAGAAGGAGGAGAGGGGAGGAGGACGCGAGGGCCTTGTGCATCAGTTGACGCGTTCCGCATCTTGAAAGCTCAAGAGGGTGGAGGAGGAGGAGGAGGAGGACAATCCCTGATTACCTCCGCTCCGCAGACACCTCCGTCCTCCCCCCCATCCCCCCTTCGTCTACTGCTGGCGGGCGAAGGGCTCCCGTGCGGTCAGAGTGACGTCCAGTTGGGCCGTGCGGACCTCCAGAAGGCGCGTGTGTGTGTGTGTGTGTGCGTGTGTGTGTGTGTGTGTGTGTGTGTGTGTGTGTGTGTGTGTGTGTGTGTGTGTGTGTGTGTGTGTGTGTGTG